ATCTTGGTCATGATTATCCAGAATCTAGTTCCAGCCTTTTTTTCTTTTTGTTTACATGATTGGCATTGTTTATTGTCTTCCTGGCCCTGCATTCTTTCTGTCTTCTTTGTCACCCAGGAAAGAAAGAAACGCATTACCATCTACACAGCACAGCGTGAGAGAAGATTCAAAATGTACAGCAATAAATTTCCATTTCAAGAAAGCCTTTATAATAAATATTCTGTGTTGTGTTAAGAGCTGTCCACCTTCTGTTTGCTTCCTTGTAAGTTTTCTTTTGTTCCCCTCTGTGCACTTTTTAGTTTGTTCTTTTCCCCCTTCCTCCCCCCAGAAGGCTGCAATTAAGCACAGATATATTTACATATATACACATATACATGTATGTATACATATACACACAAAGATGTACGTATTCACACGTATACCTGTATATACACATACTTACTCACACATACATATACTTAGATATCTATAATCACACTCAGATAGACACACCCATTCCTACGCATCTCTAAGACCATGCTATACTTATTTGTCCTCTGTTTCTCTGAGGGTGGATAACCTCTTCCTTCAGAAGTCCAAGTTTTTCCATATTTTTCCAAGTCCACCAACTCATCGTTTCCTACACTGCAACAGTATTCCCACCTTATACCATCTAGTTGTTTTAAGTAGTCCAAAACAATGTTGATAAATATGGTTGACACATAGTGTAATTTCCCTATTTTCTCTTTTGATTAAATCTAGTTTAGCCTTAACTTTGTCCAAGATCATGATTACCACCCCTGCTCCTTTTTCCCTAACAAATCCTACTCCTGATCTTTATTTTATGTTTTTGTATATCTCTTATTTCCTATCTCTCCTGACCTTGTACTCGCTACCTTGCCCCCCTACTACTTGGCCTGTCCCGACCCCAGCAATCCCTCCCTTATCCTCCCATTCCCATAAATCTAAACCTCCCCTCCAAAGAGCCCTCCCTATCACCTTAGCATTTTTATTTCTTACTGAATTTAGAAGACTTTTATACTCTTCTGGATATATATGTATTGTTCCCTCCTTAACCCATTCCTGATGAAAGTAGCTTTCCAGGACCACCAGCCCTCCTTCCCATCCAATTCCTTTCACTTCTCATTTGTATAAAATAATTACTCTTTTTAGCTGTTCCTAAACAGTTGTACTTTTGAAAGTCATGTCATGTTCAGGTCTACCCCGATTTTTCTTACAAACCCAATTACTAATAACAATCTCGGACACACGTTTTACATTCTACATACATAAAAGGTAAAAGGTCTATCCTTACTGAGTCCCTCGTAATTAGTCTTTGGTAGGTACTTTATGTTTTTCTCGGTCTGTGTATGTCAAATCTTCTATTAAGTTCAGGTTTGTTTTTGTTTTTTTAAACAAAATCCTAAAAGTGTAATAATTCATTATATGTCCTTTTTTTTTTTTCATTCAAGATTATGCTTTGCTGGGCATGATATTTTTGGCTAGAACCCCAGTCTTTTGCTCTTCAACATATAGTGTTCCAAGACCTACCATATTTTAGTGTCTCCACTGTTAGACATTGTGTGATTCTAATCGTGGTACCGTCATATTTAAATTGGTTTTTTTTTCCTTGTTGTACATAATATTTTCTCCTTGAGCTGGAGGTTTTGGAATTTGACTGTGATATTTCTGTGGGTTTTCCTTGTAGGATCTCTTTCAGTTGGTGATCGGTGCATTTTTTCTATTTGTACCTGCCCCTCTTGTTCTAATGCTTCAGTACAATTTTCTTTAATTATTTCTTGTATTATTGTATCAAGATTCTTTTTTTGATCATAGCTTTCAGGTAATCCAATTATTCTTGTTTTCTCTTCTTGATCTGTTCTCCAGATCAGTTGTTTTTCTTATGAGATGTTTCACGTTCTCCCCTATTTTTTCATTCTTTGTATTTTGTTTTATTTCTTGGTCTCTTATGACTTTATTGGCTTCCCCTTGCCCAATTCTGATTTTCAAGGAGTCATTTTCTTCCTTAAGATTCTGGATCTCCTTTCTAATTGGTTGACTTTCTTTTCGTAATCTCCTTGTTTTTCTTGGATTGTTCTTATTTTTTTAGTTGTTTCTCAGTCTCTTTCATTTGATTTTTAAAAGTCTTTTTAAAGTTTTTCTATGAATTCTTTTTGGGCAGGTGACCATTTGATGTTACTCTTTGGGGTAGGAGAGAGTTTCTTTGCTTCAGAATCCTCCTCTGAAGATGAACCCCTGGCTTCTCTATTCCCATAGCAATGGTCTATCGTTGGATTCTTTCTCCTTTGACTGGGCATTTTTTTGGTAATAATTTAGTTTTTGTAATCACCTCTAGGCCTTGGGTATGGAGGACGGTGCCTCTGGCCTCATATCCTCCTTCAGTTCTCCCCTCTAACCTTGAACCCCAACCGAGACTTCCAGCCTCCTGTGAGTGCCCACTGCCAGTGGCGTCCCCGCTCCTCTGTTTCACATCTTCAGTGCTCATGGTGTGCCCGGCACTGTGCTAAGCTCTGGGGATACAAGGAAACAAGACTTTCCCTGCTCTCAAGAGGCTTCCCTTCTAAGGTGAGGGAAGAAGGGGGAAAGATAACCCATTAAGAGGAGCCACAAAGCAGTGGATGAGAAGATCTGGAGCTGATGGTCCAGCCCAGAGTGGTGTGGGACGCTGTAAGGCAGAGGCCCCTTCTCCAGGGCCTGGATGGCTCCAGGGGATGAGAGGATGAGAGTGAAGCGCAGCATGCACGCTGGCAGCAGGTGCGGACGTGGCAGCAGAGGAGCGATGCGGACACTTGCCAGCAGTGTCTCTGATCCCAGAGAAGGGACATTGGCAAAGCACACAGTGTGCCCTTCCTCCTACCGACCTCTGCTCTTGGCCAGTGCCATCTTTTGTCATCTTTGTGTGTTTGCTCAGTTTAAGGTAAAACCTCAGGGTTGTTTCCATTGGTGTTTTGGAACAATCTTTCATATGTAACTGGTTTGCAATTCTTTTGAGAACTTTTCTCTGTTTCTGTAAGCAATCTCATAAATAAGGTCCCCTGACTCATCTGTCCCTAATCGAGCTCTGAGGGTCGCTCTGACCACTGCCTGCCTTGGACAGGCTCCTCTGGTCCCCCTCACCTCCATATCCTCCCATGCAGGGGGGAGGGAGAGGCTCCTGCATGGCTCTAGACCCTCCCTTTCCTACCCAGAGGCCAGTCCCTGACACCTCCCCTGAGCTGATGAGGCGGCAGCATGAGGCCTTTTGGAGTTCCCCGTGTTTCTGTGAAATACACCAGTAAAGCAAGTGATGCCCATGAAGAGAAAAACAAAAACCTTGTTTAAAAGAAAAGAAAAAAAGACCTTAGGCAGGTGGTTAGGGTGAGGCTGAAGCTGTGAGCTCCTTGAAGGCTGGGGCTGTTTTTGCCTTTCTTTTTGTCATTTAGCACGGGTCTGCACATAGTCAGCCCTTCACATTTGCTGGGTTTACAAAAACAAAGCGAGGTGTACACTTTCTAACTTGGAGAAACAGCATATAAGGAGGGATGGGAGTGGACTGGGGAAGAAGGTGGGCTCTGAATGAGAAAGGACCCATCAGACACATCTTTGCTCCCTTTTCAGGAAGCAGACCAGAGTTGGCTGGATTATGATTTCATGATTGGAAAGGGGTGGGAGTAGAGGCTTGGGTCACTACCAGGGAGGGTGCTGCATAGCAGGCCCTTAATAAGTACTGTTGAGTGTCGAGTGAGATAAGGCGGGGGTGGGCACCAACAGCAAGCTGATATTCTGAAACAGCCCTTTAAGAAAAAAAAAGAGTATTTATAATTTTAAAATTCTTAGTAATAGCTTTTATTTCATACCACTTTTATTACCAACTATACCCTCCCATCCTCCATAACCTGTCATTTGTAATAAAAAATGAATAAAGAAAGGGGAGGAGGAGGCAGTTCAGCAAAGCCTACCTGCCCTCGATGAGTCTGGCAGGGTCTGTCTGTCTGTCTGTCCAAGGTTCTCCACCATTACCCTCCTCCCCAGCAAAGCTGGGGGAGGAATGTGGCTGCGCTTTGTTAAAAATGCGTCTTTTTGGAGGCCTTTTCTTTCTCACATCCTCCTAGTTTTCCCTGGTATCCTCCCCTTCCCCTCCCCAAGAGCCAGCCCATAGAACAAACAATATTTTAAAGAAAAAAAGAAGAAAAAAAATCCCCAAACTAATCGGTATGTTAAGTCTGGACCATTCACTTTGCACTTTTGGTGCGCCATCTTTCTTTCCGTTTTCATTGTATCGTTGTCACCACAGAGATCCTTTCCTTGGCTCGCCTGACTTCCCTCTGCATCCGTTCATGCAGCTCTTCCTGGTGATTCTCTGGGTCTGTCACACGTGCCACCTCTGACAGCGCCACAGCTTGTTTAGTCACTCTTCAATCAGTAGGCAGCTACCTGGTTTCCAATTCTTAGCCATTACAAAAAGTGCTGTTATAAATACATTGGCAGGGGCAGCGAGGTGGCACAGTGCATAGAGCACCGGCCCGGAAGTCAAGACGACCTGAGTTCAGATCTGGCCTCAGATCAAACACTTGACACGTACTAGCTGTGTGACCCCGGGCAAGTCACTTAACCCCAATTGCCTACATAAATAAATGTGTTGGTGTATGAAGGGAATTTCTCATCACAGGAATAAACCCATAAGGACCAGAGTCTCTAGCATTTTAGGTGATTTATATACATAATCCCCAAATGGTGGCACCACGTCACCGCTCCACCAACAATGTATCAGTGTGCCTGTCTCCCCTCCGCTCCTCCATCATTGACAGTTGCACGGTCTTTGCCAGTCTGCAGGGTGTGATTTTGATGGGCATTTCTCTTGTTATTTGTGATTACGAATACTTTTCAGTTCTTCCTTTGAACCTCTGGCCATTTTGCTGGGGAATGAAGCACGTCGTTTTTGGTCTGATAGATTGTGGCCGGGTTGGGAAGGGGGGTGCTGCTGTTGTTGCTGTCTGTAGCTTCCTGTTTCAACTTTGCAGCTGGGCCAGAAGGATGAAAGAGGCGGAAAAGCTGGAGAGCGTCCGAGAAGACTGGTGAGTGAAGAAGGCGCAGCCCAGCACTGGGCTCAGGTCTCCCCTCTGCCCCTGCCCTCCCATCTTGCAGCCCTCAGGCGCTGTGCTGGGTCCTGTGTCCTTCAGACTGGCTGTGGCACCAGTGTCTCTGCTCCTGGAAGGAGAAGGCCCAGGGGTGGCAGGGCTTTGAGGACCCGTGTGAGAGCGACAGACTGTTTCTCCCTGCCTCGGTTTCCCCCATTTTAGATTCCGTGACCTCTGAGGTCCTACCCCACTCAGATTCTACCAGTAACACAGAACATTCAAAGTCTTTTGGGCTCACGGGGGAAAGAGGAATAAGCATTTATATAGCCCCTCCTATGTGCCAGGCACTGTGCTAGCATTTTTTACAGTTACATCCTCACAGCAAACCTGGGAAAGAGGTGCTGTTATGGTTCCCATTTCACAGCTGAGGAAACTGAGACAGATAGAAGTGAAGTGACTTGCCCAGGGTCACACAGCTAGGAAGTGTCTGCGGCTGGATTTGAACTCAGGTCCTCCTGACTCCAGGCCCAGCCCTCTCTCCAGCGCCCCCCAGTCGTCTCTGGGGGATCTTTGTTCTACAAACGTCATTACGCCAGGCAGGAGGTGTCCTTCCACCTCGATCCAGGGAAGCTTTGCCCATCAGCCGGCAGGGGCGTCATGGAGCCAAGTGTAGCCCCAGACAGGGACATGAGAAGTGAAGGGTGGCAGAGCAGCCTGTGACCCAGAGCCCCCTCGCTGCCGGCAGCGCGCTTCCTCTGCCTGTACACATGATTCTCGCCATCTGCTATCCCCCCACCATGGTCACACACAACTCACAAGAAGCAGCCGCTTCCCAGGGGCCGCCCGCCTCGGACGGAGGTGCCCTCTATCCCCGAAGACAGCCAGAGTCGGGTGTGATGACCGTGTCATGGGGGGAAGGGAAGGGCCCAGAGACAACCTCCTCGGGCCGAGTCATGAGGGGTGGCCACACCCTCAAGGGTTTCCCGTCCCAGTCTGGTGGGGGCACGGATGGCTGGAGGCACTGGCCACGAAGCCTGAGCTGCCCAGAGGCTCAATTCCTTCCTTCCTCCCTTAGGGCTTGTGACCCTGGAGCCGAGGACCAGAGCCTCCATGGCGGCCCAGCCAAGAGCTGCGAGCTTTTCTTTGACAGCCTCTTGGCAGAAGCCCAGAAAGTCAGCCCCGAGTGCTCGCCCTCGCCTGAGAGGAGACAGGTGGGTGTCAGGTTTGGGTCCCGGCCCCTCAGACCTGATCTGAGGCGATGAAAGGAACAGAGTCTCACATATGGGCTCAGAATTGTTCTGCCTAATGGTGTGGAGGCTGGCAGCTGGCCTAGTCAGCGGGATTGAGGGGTGTCCTTCACTGAGGGAGGCTGGCGGCCAGCTGGTCAGAGGCCAGGAGGGTGTCCTCCACTGAGGGAGGCTGGCGGCCGGCCTGGTCAGCGGGGTTGAG